CCCATTAGCAGTAGAACGTGTTAAGGCTAATTTTCTTCTATTACAAGAAAGATTAGAGCTGTGCAGGTGTTGGTTAAGGTGTTCAGTGAGGTCTTTGAGGACCTAGGTTCTTTCCATCCTTCCCTTTTGCCATGCTGGGCATGTTGGCGTTATGTTCTCATTCTTGTCATTGCATGGACCCAAAGCAGCTACCACATTGCCAGGCATCACACCCACATTGCCACGCATCACACCCACATTTTAGGCAAAAGGAAGGGGGAAAACACCAGCCATTTCTGCCTTTTATACAGAAAGAAAAAGCTTTTCCCAAAGGCTCATCTTGTTATGTCTCATAGGCAATAAGCTGGGTCACATGACCAATGCTAGATGAAAGGGATTCTGGGAGAGCAAATGTCTGGCTTTTCAGCTTCTTGGGAAGGAGAGAGTAAGAATCAGGGAGAATATGGCTGCTGAGCCCAGTAAATGTTTGTTAAATAAATATAATTAGAAAATAAGCTGGAAAAGTCTTTTTTTTTCCCAAGTAGTGTGTACCATGACATTATTTTGAGGAAATAAACATTAAATTGAATTTGCTTTTAAGTTACGATGCTGCTCTCTATTATTATTATTATTGCCATTCCTGGGTGTAGCTGAGCCATGCTATCTTTTTTCCCTAAGGCAAAACAGAATTGGCCCAAGTTTTCTCATGGGCATGGGACAGAGAGTAGAACTGGAGGGAGGGTCCAAGCTCATGCAGAACGCAATGTGAAGGAATTTAACTCTGGTTGTCTTCCTGAGAATATTTTACACACACTCACCTTTGGATCAGAAAAGGCATTTCTTCTGTGTTCTACCACTGGTCATTCTCCTCAAGTGGCCTCATGTGTAACTTGTTGAGAAATTACTGGTTCTGACTGGTTTTCATTAACTTCTCCTTCATACACACTGTCCCAGCATTTAAAGGGGAGGGTTGACATGTTGACAATGAAAGCAAACGTGCCAGAATGGGGCATGCAACAGCACGCAATCTCTCCTCTTCACTGAGGAACAGGACTAATAATACAAATGAAGAGGTGTACGTAAAGGGTGTATGTCGCTGGTACAGAAGAGGCACTTAGTAAACGTTAGATGTGATTATTTTCCTTCCTCTATTTGAGACAGGGTCTTGCTCTGTCACCCAGGTGGAGTGCAGTGGCACAATCATAGCTTACAGCAGTCTCAACCTCCTGAGCTCCAGCTATCCTCCCACGTCAGCCTCCTGAGGAGTTTGGACCACAGGCATGTGCCAGCATGCCCAGTTAATTTCAAAAAATGTTTTGTAGAGATGGGGGTCTCGTATGGTGCCTTGGCTGATCTTACCTCAGTAATCTTCCTGTCTCAGCCTCCCAAATTGCTGAGATTGCAGATGTGAGCCACCGTGTCTGGCCTGCTATCTTATTTCTATTCATATAAGAACGATGCTTCTTTTCTCCCTGCCTACCCTGCCAGTGAGGATCCACTTTTCCCGTTACCCAGATGAGTCTAGATAAAATGAGAAGATCCAAGACTGAACTATGCAGTTCCCTGGTTTTACTTTAACTTCCCAGGGGAGCTTCTGGGAGAACCCCGGGCGGGCCAAACGTACTGTAAGTTTTTTCAGGAGTGTTTGAAGTAATCTGGTTGGGTAAACAGTAATCACACAAAACCTGGCTTTCTAGGGAGGTTAACCTGAAACTTTAATTGTTTTCAAAAAGTTTCTCCTCAGGGTAACCACTCTGTTTCCTGGCAGAATTTAATTCTATCAGTTTTCTGGACACAGGAAAAGAAGGCTATTTACAACTCGTATACTTGTATTCCTGCACAAAACGTACGAAGTTCTCTAGCAGAGAGCTCTTCCACATGGTAGGAGGAGTGTTTTCCCATGTGTTTCCTCAAACCGCTGCTTGACAGTGCTCGACTGACTTTCCAGTGTATTCTACATTAACAAATACGAGAAGAAGAGGTCAGTGGTCCAGTGTCTCGCTTGCCTGGCAGTCGCTGATGCTACGGAGACCACAGTGAAATGTGAACGACTCTGATTCCTCTCACTTGCCTCTGACCTTGCTTTCATCCTCGCATTAGGTTAGGTGGTACTAAGGCATAACTGACTAAGAGTGCAAGCTTAGGAATCGAAGTCCTCGGGTTAAATCTTGACTTTGCCATTTTCTAGCTCTCCAGCCTGGGGTCCATTACCTTTTCTTACTGGACCTTATTTTCTTATAAACAAAGTTGCCAAATTAATATCCACCCCACAAAAATTAGCACCAGTCCTAGAATACCAGAATGGAGACGTGCTTTCTTAGACCTTAAGAGAAATAAAATTAGGCTAAGTGAAGAAAGTGCAAGCATTAAATATGATACTCTATGAGAAGGTGCTTCAGAAAGTGTTCAGTTGCGACTTCATAAAACTCAACCCAAACACCTTAAGCAAAATAAGAATGTATCGACTCATGTAATGAAAACAGAATGTCAGGCTGGGCATGGTGGTTCATGCCTGTAATCCCAGCACTTTGAGAAGCCGGGGTGGGCAGATCCCCTGAGGTCAGGAGTTTGAGACCAGCTTGGCCAACATGGCGAAACCCTGTCTCTACTAAAATTACAAAAGTTAGCCAGGCGTACTGTCATATGCCTCCAGCTACACAGGAGGCTGGGTCAGGAGAATTGCTGGAACCTGGGAGGCCAAGGCTACAGTGAGCCGAGATCGTGCCACTGCACTCCAGCCTGGGCAACGGATCAAGACTTTGTCTCAAAAAAAAGAGAAAAAAAAAATAGAGTATCAAGTATGGCTAGGTCAGAAGCCCAAACACTGATGGTGGGCTCAGATTTCACTCTGATGTTTTGTGTCTGGGGCAGGTTCTCCCTACATTTCCCAGGCTGGAGTGCAATGGCTGATTGCAGAAGTGATCATAGCACACCATAGCGTTGAATACCTAGGTTCAAGCAATCTTTCTGCCTCAGCCTTCCTAGTAGCTGGGACTACACATGCATGTGGTACTGTCCCAAGCTCTCACTCTACTTTTATTCCATTGCCTTCTGCATTGGACTTATCCACAGACAGTGTCTCCCTTAGTGGAGCATGATGGTGGCAATAACTCCAGCCTTTTTTCTCCAGTTTCAAGTCCCGTGAGAAAGAGAGCATGCATCTCTTTCAACAGTCCCAGTGAAAGTAGCATTGCATCTCATGGGCTCTGAAGGTGGATCATCCCTCAACCAATGCGATAGGATGAATTTATCAAACCTAAGCCACAATCCTACCTCTGGAGCAGGAGATGAAGTCACCACCACCTGCTGGACCAAAAGTGTAGTGGTTTCTCAGAAGGAAATTGGGATGCTGTTACCAAAGGACGACGGAATGAGTGTTGCAATGATAGGGGGTGAGAAAAAGACCAATTTCCTCTAGAATGCCATCAAAATGGAAGTACATCTCGGCTTTAGCACCAATCCTAGAATACCAGAATGGAGACGTGCTTTCTTAGACCTTAAGAGAAATAAAATTAGGCTAAGTGAAGAAAGTGCCATTCATTATAGTAGCCATGCATGTATATAATTACAATTTCAAGAACTGAATGAAAATATAAATGCTTTAAAACTGGGATGAAGCTTTCACAGTAAGCAACCAGAATGTTGTGGCGGGAGGGGGTGGTGGGTGGCATCTGGAACTCTGAAAACTCATTGGTCGAGGACAACTACACCCGCCAACAGAATGCAGAGCTGCGAGATTGAGCTGCTGGTGCCTGAGTTCTCAGCAGGTCAGAAGGAAGGACGGTAGGGCGGTAGGGCTGGAGTCTCTGATTTCTGGGAAGTCTCCTTATCTCACAGAACACCTGCCCTTGGATAAAGATCATTAGTTTGAGTTCTTCCAAGATGAGGAAGCTCTTGCTGGTAACTAATTCACCCAGCCTGGGGTGGGGTCCGGAGATTGAGATTTTTTTCCAAGCTTTCCTGCCATCAAAATGAGTGTGTGGGACCTCAGGAGACCCTCTTCATTTCTCCGTTGCTACGCTCTACACTCTGTAATGGTTGCATCTATTGACATAGCTGTCTCCGTCCCAGAGTATGAACCCCCAAGGCAACTCCTGTAGCTCTGGGTGCCTGGCACACAGCATGGTGCCTGGCATGGATGAGCACCCAATAAACATTTGTTGAAGGAATGAGGGAGGACGGAGGCCAACTAGTAGGCTGCCTGGTTTTGCCCACATGGGCTTTTCTGGGAAAGAAGAGCTTCTATTTTTGGAAAAGGCTGCTATGATTGAGGAAATTCACAGCAGCCAAAGAAGAAAGGACATTGGGAGGGAAACACTCCACTTCTCCCAGACCACACATTCTTTTAAAAGACTCCCTCATCTCTTTCGTAACAATGGTAACGACCATGGCAGTGATGATTATGAGTGTGGCTAGTGCCAGGCACTGTGTTCTCACTGGTGAGTGATGATATCATTGCATCTTCACGCTCTTGCGGGGATGGACAGCATCACACCCCCATTTTACAGATGATGAAAAGGAGGCGCAGGGAGTGGTGCAGCCGCTGCAGGGGTACACAGATAGGAAGTGACAAGCCTGGGACTCTGCAGCCTGAGCGTGTCATCATGACCCACCTGCTGCTCTGCTCTTGCAGGTAGGACAGCGCAGCTCCGGAGCACACGCCATGCACATTTGCAAGGTGCTCATTTCCATGCAGCAAAAATAAGTCAATAAGTTATTGACATAGAGAAAAGCAAAGGGCCTCTCAATAAAGAGGTCATTGTCCACCTCTCCAAAGAGGCGATTTTCTGTCTCATTTTTATTCCCCTGCTGTGTGCTGAAGGTCACTGACTACAGGCTGGTGAAGTCACGGAAAGGAATCCTTGGCCAGGGAACTCAGAAATGGGAGGGGCAGGAGAGGTGGGGACAGAGGAGGAGGAGGAGGAGGAGGAGGAGGAGGCTAAGCGATTCTACAACCAGGGGCAGTTCAGCCTGCTTTTCCTCCCTCGACCAGCCCAACCACCCGCCTCCATCACGCTGACCACTCCCCTGGGCTGGCCTCCTGCACTGGGCGCTAACAGTCCAGGCTCCGGGGACAGCCAGCGTTCCTGGCCGGCTGGGTGCAGCTCTCTTCTCAGGAGAGAAAGCTCTCTTGGAGGAGCTGGAAAGGTGGGTGCTAAGTTGAGGCTGATTTTGTTCTTCTCAGAGTGTGCTTATCGAGTCTGAAGGTGGGTTGGGACATCGGGCCTCTTCTTGGGAACAAATGGGATGATCATCTTGGGAGGGAAATGCACTTACGGACAGAGCCAGGCTGTGCTGCTGCGGGTGGGTGGGGAGGTGGGGTGAGGGGAGAGGAGGGCACTGCGGAGGAAGAAACCGTTCCTTCCGTGGAACTGCAAAGACCAGTCCAAGAGGACTTTAGTGTTGGGAAAAGGGAATCTGGAGGGAAGAGAAAGGGGGCCTCTCTAGATGTTGCATGGCTTGGGTGTTGGGAGAGACTATGGGACAGCAGGTACTGTAAACAACCTTTCCTCCATAGGAAAGCAGAAAAGGCCTGTTCAGCTCAGGCTCCCAACGAGAGCTCCTTCTAGGAGTGAGCCCAGCGATGAAACACACCCGAGGCTCAAGAGGGGCAGGTTCTTTTCAGATCCAAATCCAGGAAGGAGATAAAGGCTTGGTGCCTCCATTTGGTTCAGGACAAGGCCCCTGATAAGGGCCCCTGTCCGCTTTCTCTGATAACCCTGTCCTCCTCTCCAGGTCCATGTACAAAGGAGGCCCTTCAAAATGCACTTGGTCATTCAGGCCTCAAACTGAGCAGGAGGCTGTGGGAGAAGAATGAGGGTGTCTCAAGGGGAAGAGGTGTCAAAAGCTTAAGAAACAAGAAGTCAGAGTTTACCTGGGTTTGAGGGTGAATTTTCTTTGCTCTTCCTTCTCCTTCTCCTCCTCCTCCTTATTTATTTATTTATTTATTTTTTGACATGGTCTCATTCTGTTACCCAGGCTGGAATGTAGTGGCATGATTATAATCATGGCTCACTGCAGCCTCCACCTCCTGGGCTCAAGCAATCCTCCCACCTCGACCTCCCAAGTAACTGAAACTACAGGCACATGCCACCACACCCAGCTAATTATTTTTTTATTTTTGGTAGAGACAGGGGTCTCCCTATGTTGCCCAGGCTGGTCTCAAACTCCTGGACTCAAGTGATCCTCCTGCCTCAGCCTCCCAAAGTGGTGGGATTACGGTCGTGAGCCACCATGCCTGGCTCTTCCTCATCTCCTCAGAATGTTTATTACCCAAGGATTCTTGAAAAAGAAAGCTCATGGACACACCCCAAACAATCTGGTTTTGTTCTATGCTCTTAGGGAAGAACTTTCTAAGCAGCAGAGCCTTTCTGAGTGGCAGGGCTGTCTTAGGAGGAGGGGTCTTTGATGATGGGGAACTTTGGGTCTAGGTCTGGTAGGAAAGTTGCCCCATTTCCTGCCTACTCCCTGAGGCTTTGGGGTGGTAGTACCACATTGGGCCATGTCATTTGGGTGAGTTCTCGGACATCGCTTTCTCTGCTTCTCCCTCTTTCTGGATACTTCTTGGAGCCTTTCTAGGGAACCTCCTCCTCCCACAGTGTCCATAGCATCTCTTAGCTAATGGTCCTAAAATCTCTACCAGCAGCTTCCCTCTGATAACTAAGAGCTGCCAGGCACTGAGAACTTTCTTTGTACTGGGCTCTGTGCTATGTGCCCCAGATGAGAGATATGCAGTGGGTGCCTAAACCCTGGGCTTCAAGCAGACACACACTTTCATATCCTGCCATCAGCTCCTTATTGAATGTGTCACCATGGGCAGGACACGTGCCTCTCTGTGACTCAGTTTCCCATGCTTTAGAATGGGGATAACACTTACTGAACAATGTTCTTGTGAGGATGCAATGAATTAACCCATACACAGTGCTTTTAACAGTGTCTGGCACCTGCGTTCAATAAGTTCTAGCCATTTGAATCATCTCTTTCAAGCCTCGCAGCAAGCCTCTATAGTCTAAAGTCTGTATCAGTACCCCTATTTGCAGATGAGAAAACAGGTTCACAGAGGAGAAGGCAGTCTACAGTATGCAGTCCAGCATTTCCTGTGCTATTCAGCAATAAAAATGATAACAGCTAATACTTAGAGTAAATGGCAGTGCCAGGCTTTGGATTCACGAGGTGAGTTCTAGAATCCATCCCTCTAATCACCACACTAAACCGCCTCTCTAGATGGTTATATAAAGTATATCTACTCAGTCTTGAAGGTTTTAAATGGCACCTAGTTTGGCATTGGAAATGCAGTTGACCTTCAAAGCAGCTCTTTGGAGGCAGCATCAGTCTCTCTGGATCAATCCCTCTGGACATACCTCAGCGGTTTGGTTGGCCTTATTTTACACGTAGGGAACCCAAAGCTAAAAGAGCATCAGTAACCCCATGAAATCACAGTTAGTGCAGGTTGGAATTGGGATTCAAATCCGTACCTGACTTTATAATTCCTGGTTGGGACCCAGAATCTTTTATGGCACCAGAATTAATTTTTTCCTTCCTTCCTTCCCTTCCCTTCCTTCCTTCCTTTCTTCTTTCCTTCCTTCCTTCCTTTCTTCCTTCCTTCCTTCCTTCCTTCCTCCCTCCCTCCCTTCTCTCTCTTTATCTCTTTCTTGTTTCTTCTTCTTCTTTTTTAAATCAAGCTCACAAATCTGAATCTCCTGGGGTGGGGCCTGGGCATCTGATTTTTAAAAACTGGAATCTGATGTGCAGTCAACACTGAGAGCCCCTGCCAGCTTCCTCTCCCTTCCAAGTGCCAAACCCAAGTTTCATCTGTCTGCCCACCTGTCTCCCCACCTGGGCACCACCCAGCATCTCACCCTCTGGAGACTCTGGCTGGACTCATCTTCTCTCCCTTCTTCTCGGGATCAGTCTCTCCTGCTGGGAACTTGGTCAACTGCACTGTGCATTCACCTTCCTGCCTGCCAGTGCCGCCCGGCGTATTTCTCAAACCCATGCCTCCTCTGCGTGCGCTGCCTCCACGTTGGTAAAAGCCTTCATTTCAGGCTTGGGTTACTGCAGGGCCCCCCTAACTCGTCTCCGTGCCTCTATTTCTGCTTCTCTATCTCTCCCTAGGCTACTCCCATGCTTCCTCCCCTTTTCTCTTCATCCCAAAGTCCAGCCCACATCCTTTTACCTGTAGGACTTAAGGAACCAAAGACTACCTCATCACCCACTTTTCTTCTTAAAAACTTCCCACTGCTGAGATGGCCTTCCTACCCAACTTGGCTGGAAAACTCCTACCCATCTTGTGGAATCCAGTTCAAAAGTCACCACCTCTGAGAAGCCTCCCAGAGGCCCCTAGGGAGATGGGTACTAGGTACTACCTCCTCTGTCCTTCTCCAGCACAGGCCCCATCCTCAGTCATTGGATTGTGCTGGAATGACTGCATGCCAAGTCTGTCCTTTGCTGAACTCCTTATGCAACAATCACATATTGTATGTCTCCTATTGCCAGGTGTGGGCCCAGGTGCTGGGGACACCGATGAATAAAACTGAGTTTCTGTCTTCAAGAAGCTCCAAGTCTACTGAGTGTAGCAGAGAACAGGGAGAAGTCACTTCAGGGAGAAGACGTAGCACATGCAAAGCCCAAGAAGGCAGGACGGAAGCTTCCTGTCTGTGCAGGAGGATGAAGGAAGAGGGTGACAGGAGGCCAGCCGCGGAGGGGAGGGACTGGTCTGGAAGGGCCATGGACACCCCTCATGCTCCCTGAGACCCCTCCCCAGTATGGAGATGGGACTGAAAAGCATCATGATCATTTGTGACTCAGATCCCTGTGGGTGTCTTCAGAGTGGGTCTCACCCATTTTTACAACCACAGCACCTAACACAGTGCCCGGCCCACTGTGTTTGCAAGAATGCATGCCCACTGGGTCAGGAAGCCCTTTGGGAACTAGGGGGTTGGCTCTGTGACGATGGGGTCCCTGAGATTTTATGTTTCAAGGTACTAAGCCTCACTCTGCCCCTGCCTCGGTGGGGGCGTCCCGCAGGTGCCTGACCCGGCCATGCTGGCGCTGCTGTGTTCCTGCTTGCTCCTGGCAGCCGGTGCCTCGGATGTCTGGATGGGAGAGGACCTGGCGGAGCAGATCAGAGACACGCACGCCAAGGTCTCTGATATCTGGCAGAAGCTCACGCAGCGGCAGGACGACGACGACGCGCTCCACGCCACCTGCCAGGTGCAGCCCTCGGCCACACTGGACGCCGCGCAGCCCCGGGTCACCGGCGTGGTTCTGTTCCGGCAGCTCGCGCCCCGTGCCAAGCTCGAGGCCTTCTTCGACCTGGAGGGCTTCCCGGCCGAGCCGAACAGCTCCAGCCGCGCCATCCACGTGCACCAGTTCGGGGACCTGAGCCAGGGCTGCGAGTCCACCGGGCCCCACTACAACCCGCTGGCCGTGCCGCACCCGCGCCACCCGGGCGACTTCGGCAACTTCGCGGTGCGCGACGGCCGCCTCTGGAAGTACCGCGCCGGCCTGGCCGCCTCGCTCGCGGGCCCGCACTCCATCGTGGGCCGGGCCGTGGTGGTTCACGCAGGCGAGGACGACCTGGGCCGCGGCGGCAACCAGGCCAGCGTGGAGAACGGCAACGCGGGCCGGCGGCTGGCCTGCTGCGTGGTGGGGGTGTGCGGCCCCGGGCCCTGGGCGCGCCACGCGCAGGAGCACTCGGAGCGCAAGAAGCGGCGGCGCGAGAGCGAGTGCAAGGCCGCCTGAGCGCGGCCCCACCCGGCGGCGGCCAGGGACCCCCGGCGCCCCCCTCTGCCTTTGAGTTTCTCCAACAGGCACCCTCCTCCCTGGGATCTCACCTTCGCCTTTGCTGAAATCTCCCCGCAGCGCTCCCCGCCCAGGTCTCCCCTATGTGCGCCGAGACCCTCCACCCTTTCCATCCAGAGAACCGCCCGACCCTCGGAGTCCCCCACTCAGTGGGTCGAGGGCCTCCATTTGTACTGAAACACCCCGCCCACGCTGACAGCCTCCTAGGCTCCCGGAGGCCTCTTTCCACCCGGTCCCTCCTCCCCTACCCCATAAGCCCTGAGTACCCGCCTCTGACCCTCCTCCCCCACCCCATAAGCCCTGAGACAACACCTCTGACCCTCCTCCCTCACTCTAGAAACCCTGAATCCCCGCCTCTGACCTGACAATCTTCCCTCTTCCCGCCTTCAGATTCCTCCTAGGCGCTCGCTCGGAGGCCCCTCTGGGGGGTTACCTAGAGTCCCCTTACCCCTTCCCACCCACCACCGCTCCCGCGGCCAGCTGGCCGGTGCAGCGGAAGTCAGGCCAACTGCCCGGCGTCCTGAGCTGTTTCCCATCCACCGCCACCCCACTGAGAGCTGTTCCTTAGGGGGGATGTTAGGCAATCTTCATATTGCACATTAAAAATTCAGCAATTCAGTACCGCGTCGGGGCCTTAGTTACTTTTTTATTTGTTTTAGGATTCTCTACCAGGCTCAGCTGGGTTTTCCCCCCTTTTTCCTTTTGTTAAGTGGCAAAGATATTTCCAAAATCCCTGCAGGACTTCTCCTTATCCTCTGCCCCCACCCCGCTAACCCTACTGGCAACAACGCTCAGCCACTGTTTGTCTTGCCCTTTAGTGTGGCTCCAAGAGGAAGATCACCAGAATCACTCAGGGAAGTTAAAAAAAAAAAAAAAAAAAAAAAAAAATACAGCTCCCTGGGCTACATCCCAGAGCTGTGGAATCCAAAGGGAGAAGAGAAAGTTTATTTGCAACAAGCTTCCAGATGATTCTGAAACGGGAGACTCTGGCCTGAGTGGAGGAGGCATTCTATGTCACCCGGGCTGGTGGCTTGTCACATCTGTCTCTGAATACAACGTTAGGTCCATTTCCCAGATGTTAGAGACAGTGCCAGGGAAGCCACGTGACTGGAATGGTGGGGTTGGAATGTGACTTTGTTAGCATACAGCAGGACCAAGATCAGAGGCAAACGAAGGCAGTGGGATGGAAAGGCGGCTGCTTTTGATGAAGGCTTGTTCGGAGTTCAGCTTTCTATTGAACTGTATAATCTATAACCAAGCTAGAACAGTCTTGTGTGTACACCTTCATTCACAGAATAAACGTACTTGCGATAACTTTTTAGCCTCCCAGGGTGGCCTCACTTCCTAGCCGTGGCTTTTCCACCCCGGTGACTGGGAGGCAGCTTCCGGCTCTCCTAGACTCCTAAGGCAGTGCGTCAAACTGAACCGCAGCCAGAAACCTGTCCCCAGGGGCTATTTTTACCTCTAACTAGGACTAACTTGTTATTTAAAACATTTTCCTTGAACCCAGGTGACAACAGGAGAGAAAGGCTATTGCCTGGTGACTTTGCTCCACCAACTGGCTCTTACTGGTTTGAATACTAACTTGAACTGTAGACATCAGCACTGAAAGGGAATGAGCAAACGTGTCTCTAAGTCTCCCGATCCTGATCTCAAATATCCCCCAATCACAAGTTGCCACGAGGTAACAATTACATGGGGGCTCAGGATGGAGAGGATTAAAATCCCCAACATCCGTCTTCTACTCTAATGCCTGGATTATGGTGAATTCAGGATCATCAAGAAAGGTGTGGACCTTTTTTTTTTTCAGAAGGAGGCTGACGCTTCTTGTCAATTGCATTCAGTTCTTAGTGTCTCTCTTCACAGCCCTTGACCCCCTAGACAGGGCTGGAGAGACACCCTAGCAGACTCACTCCATTTCTGTTCCAGGAATAGGATGGATAAAATATCCTATGGGCCTCCAGAGCCAAAAACCAAACCAAATAAACAAAACCAAACAAACCCCCAAAACAAAAAACCAAAAAACAAACAAGAAAAGAAAAAAAAAACAGAAAATAATAGGAGAACAAATTACAGTTAATTGTAAGGGCAAAGATATGCATATAGCATGATGGTTAACAAGTCAGATTCAGGTAGAGAACTCCATTTGAACCCCAGCTCTGCCACAATCACAAGCCGTGTGACCTGAACGAGTCCCTTAACCTCTCTGAGCATGGGTAAAATAAGATCATCATACCAGATTGTTTTGAAGATTAAATCAAGTGTTCTTCGTGAAAGGTGCATAGCATAGTATGCACAACAAATAAGGACCTAATAAGTATCTAATTAACAATGGCTAAGATTTAAAAAAAAAATAGCTACTACTAATAAATAGATGGGGCTGCCTTGTAAGGTGGTAAGCATCATGCAACCAGGATTCAAATGAACGAAAGTTGCTACCTCTGAGGTTCCCGTGAAGGATTTCTGCATCCATTGAGAGACTGGATGACATGAACTCTTCCATCCCAGCTCTTGTGGGGAGGGGACCTAGGATGAAGGGAGGATTGTGGGTCATAAAGGCAGACATCTGTTCTTGGCACAGAACCCTATGTGTGCCACCAAACCCACCCACTGGACCCCGCTTGGCCCCTGGAGTCTATTTTTACTCCTCTCATCTTACAGATCTATTTTGTTAATCTCCTTATATTTGCTGTTTTGACTTCACAGCCAGCTTGCTAATCAGTTTGCCTATTTGACTCACAGGGTTTGCATTTGTCACTGGGACTGAAACACACGCTTGTTTTGATTTCTTTTTGTAAAATTAGAAGCGTTTGATGTAATGACTCTACCTTGACACAGCTGGTAAAGTGAGAATAATGCTCAAGTTTGCACAGTTTAAACACAATGTAGAAAATAATTAGAAATGCTATCTTTAGATGTTTAGGATAAGCTTTTTCTCAGAATTGCACTGATTTTTTTTTTTCCGAGTGGGGCTCTTTAGTGCATATATACAGAAATACTAAAAACGTAAGAAAATAGAGCAAATCAGTGAGTGCTTTGGTCAACTTGAAAGACTGCAGGAAATAAACCAACTGATTTTAGATCTGCCTTTTTTTGACTGAATGCATAAAATCTTTACATTCTCCATATTTTTCATGACTACCATATGATCAAATAGTTTTAGGTGACAGACTGCAACTGGTAAGTTGGTGCAATACGCTAGCCATCATGGTCAGCCTCTGCCTGCCCTGTGCTGAGGGTGGAATATGAAGCAAACAATAAAGATAATTAATCATCTCGATCAGGAAAATTGCCACATTTTTATTTCAGGTAACAAAAAATGATATAGTTATGATACACAATGACCAAAGAATCCAATAAAGCAAGTTCTGCAAATGAATAGAAGGTACTCTTTCTTTAAATGAAACTACAAAATAGCAGCTGGTTTTAAAAACAAAGCCAATTGTTTTACATTTAATAGGCTACCACTGGCCTCTGCTAAGATCCCCAAATATATTCCTCAGCTCACATAGATTCCAGAAAGTCAAACTTTTCAATATTATGCACACTTTCCCTTTGCATCCAAAAAAATTCTCATTTAGTAAAGTGGGGATATGAAATGCACAGCAGCATGTCCAGATCTATCATTTTAAATTGCCCTCATGCTGTATCAACTTGTTTGGCGTTGTTTTTGGAAGCAACCATAATATTGAGAGACGGGTCTTTCCTATTGTTTGTGCTTCTCATTTCTAACTAGATTCACGATGGAGCTCCCAATTGCATCTCTCTAAGCTGTAAGTTTTTCTCTGTTCAGGAAGACACCTGGAAAGAAGCGAGTTCATTAAAGTAGTGAGTTGGGGGCAATGCTTTGCCCTTTTGACATCCTATCTAGTCTGAAGGGACTCTCACTACTGCTAAGGAGGAGGAGTGTTTTAAATGGAGGCTTCAGAACGAAAGCAGAGGAACAAGGGGCTCTCTTTTTCAGGAAGAAGTAGGGTAGAGTTTGGGTGCAGTGGCAGCTCATGCCTGTAATCCCAGCACTTTTGGAGGCTGAGGCAGACAGATCATGAGGTCGGGAGTTCAAGACCAGTCTGGTCAGCATAGGGAAACCCCGTCTCTACTAAAAATACAAAAATTAGCTGAGCATGGTGGTGCATGCTTGTAGTCCCAGCTACTTAGGAGGCTGAGGCAAGAGAATCGCTTGAACTTGGGAGTCAGAGGTTGCAGTGAGTTGAGATCATGCCACTGTACTCCGGCCTAAGTGACAGAGTGAGACTCTTGAAAGAAAAAAAAAGATGGGCGGAGTGGCTCATGTCTGTAATCCCAGCATTTCGGGAGGCCAAGGCAGGCAGATCACAAGGTCAGGAGATCAAGGCCATCCTGGCTAACACAGTGAAACCCCCTCTCTGCTGAAAATACAAAAAATTAGCCAGGTGTGGTGGCATGTGCCTGTGGTCCTAGCTACTCGAGAGGCTGAGGCAGGAGAATCGCTTGAACCCAGGAGGTGGGGGTTGCAGTGAGCCAAGATCGTGCCACTGCACTCCAGCCTGAGTGACAGAGTAAGACTCTGTCTCAAAAAAAAAAAAAAAAAAACAAATTAGTAGGGTACCACACCATTCACAGGGCAATGGGAAAACAACAAAGCCAGGAGGCCACCCCACTTTTTTGGAGTGAAAACCAAGAGGGGCAAAGGTATGCTGTAATTTTAAAGAGACAGGGAAGATCACCTCAATGAGTAAGTAACTGGTCTTTGCCATTCCTTAGAGAGGAGACAGAACTTTTCATGCCATATGGTCAACTGGGGTGCAAAGGCTACCAGTAGGAATAACACATCAAAATATTTCCTCCAACACGTGAATAACTGATAGCAGAGCGTTTTCTAGAACTTCGTGTCGTGATGGTGGTGCATGTTTGGGAGGGAAGTCCCTGAAGAGGAGCAATGATAGGCAAACTCATTTTGATTGCCAAAAGGCGGGAGGGTCCAGCCAGCATTGAGCTGAAGCCATCAGGAGCCTCTCTGCCAAAGAGGCTTTGGGAATAGCTGCGGGAGCAAGAGAAGGAAGGGGAAGAGGAGAGGAAGGTGGGCAGAGAAGGTGTGGAAAGAGGAAGAGCAAGAGTGAGGGATGAGAAATGCCTGGTTAGAAAAACCAATCCATTTCTAGGGCCTTAATTAAAAGAAGGACAAATGCTCATATGTAAAAATCCACACCTAGAGGCTCTCAGGTACAGAGCGATCACAGGAAAGGCAGGGTGTGCAAACGAGCTTTCATTAAGAGACCTGTCAGCTCTGCTTCATTTCTCCAGACTGCCCTGCATTCTGCTGGCAACCCAGCTGGAAAAATAATGGAAGGACAAACACGCCTGAAGAGACAAACAAAGGTGGGGACATTCCACCTACAAAACAGGACAGTTCAGAAGGATGCCAGGGAGGGGGATGAGATGGCATTTTTCTGAGCAAACAGCCACAGCCCCTCCCCTTAACTCCAGACTCATCAGAAACATGATTTTCTGGCTTTTCATGCAGCAAAACAACAACAACAACAAAACCCCACAAAGACATGGGGTTCAGAGACAACACCACTGTTTGTCTATTCCCAGATTCTTACACATCCCAAGATATGATACTGTTTTGGTGTTCAGGCTTTTAGAGTCTGAATGTCTAGGGACAGGGCCCTTCTTCCGTTCTTAAGGGTGAATCTTGGTGAACCTAAACGGATCATGGTAATACCATCTCCTTTGCTAAGGATTGGTTAAGACATCATCATGTGACACCATCATGTTATAAGGTCATATCGGACAAGCCCCAGGTGATCCTTCTGACAAATTGAATGTGATAGGAACTGGGTTTTTTGCTCTTGAAACACACACACGTATGTGGGAGAAACTTCCTTTTGCCTTTGAACAGGTGCATCCATCTCATTATCATGAGAAAGCAGCTGACACAGCAGGAGGAGCAAGAAGACGGAAACTAGAACCTTGATGACTTTCTTGAATGTACAGCGCTGGAATGCCCTATTTCCGAAATTCCTGTTATACAACAGAATTCATTTGCCTACTGTTTGTTTCTATAAATGTGGCTTGGAGCTGAGAGGACCATGACTGATGCAGGGTTATCTAGCGAAGCAGGGGAGAGAATACTGCCCCCTAAACAATGATCCTAAAAAAGACAAAAGACAGCTGTGATTGCAGAGCTCCCCTTTAATGTCTGTGGAGCAGAAGAACCATATTGGGCCGGGCGCAGTGGCTCACACCTGCAATCCTAGCACTTTGGGAGGCCAAGGTGGGAGGATCACTAGGTCAGGAGTTCAAGACCAGCTTGGCCAACATGGTGAAACCCCATCTCTATTAAAAATACAAAAATTAGATGGGCATGCTGGCACGTTCCTGTAATCCCAGTTACTCAGGAGGCTGAGGCAGGAGAATTTCTTGAGCTGGGACCCGGAGGCGGAGTTGCAGTGAACCGAGATTGTACCACTGCACTCTAGCCAGGGTGACAGAGCAAGACGCTGTCTCAAAAAAAAAAAAACAAAACACCACATTGGATGGAGAAAGCAGGGGCAGGACACATGTGTCACATATCCATGGGGTGTTATCATCATGGTTCCATCTGTGACAGGATCATCAAGTTACTCATTGGCTCTCATTTCATCTAATAATATAAGACCCTCCCAGCTGACTACATGACTACACACAGTTTAGGTTATAGCTTCCTATGACTGCTGCTCCTGCCCTCACCCCAGATTCTCTGGGACTCACTGCAGTTTTCCTGACACTGATGGAATGTGCTGGAGTCTGTTATGAGCCCTGCTTTTCAGAAGGTGCAGAACAGGCCCTGAAGAGGTGCATCTGACCAACAGTGTGTCAGAACCAGAGATCTTCAGGGTGAGATTGTTCCTTCTATTATTATTGTATTAAATTTGGCTGTGTTTTCCTTTGGTGGCTCTGGCATCCTATGCAGTAGTGCTGAACATTTGCAGGCAGTTAAGGCCCAGTCCAGCAGGAAGAATGATTTCTGTGACTGCTGGTCTGTGCAAGCTCTCCAGCTGCAGGAGCAGCCTCCCCTGAGGAGAGGCTGTGGGGGTGGGCCTGGTGGGGAGGGGACAGGCTGGGACATAGAAGGATGGAACATTAGAGCCGGTGGTGGGCAGGGGTCAATGGTATGTCCTTCTCACCATGCTCCCTTTTCAACTAAAGTAGTGGGAGGCCCAGCCAGTATGCATCAGACAAAGGACTGGGTCTGCCTGGGCTGCACTTGGGCCTACTTCAGAGGAGCAGCACAGAAAGTGATGGGGCTCCCATTCTGTTAGCAGAGGATTCCTGGAGATGCAATCTGGGAGGGATGTATCTGTGTAGCTGGCCCCTCGTGTCCAGATGCCACATCTTAGTGCCACAAGCCTGGTATAAACATGGAATTTTTAGGATGCATTTTCACTAAGAGAGGCTGCCACTCTGGGAGCCTGTCTTTTTTCTGCAAGGAGGGTCACTCAAAGGAGTGATTCTGGTTCTCAGAGGCATTCTGAGCTTTGGGATCTAGTCTCAGGCTTTCCAGGAAAGGAAAAAGCTATGGCTGGATGATCTTTCAATTTTCTGCAGTGCTGGACGCTACCTAGAAAACCTAATTTTTATCCGAAAGGAAAGAACCAGCTGGCACTGACCATGGCCTCCTTTCCCAACCCTGGATTGTGCCCGTGATGCCACAGCCCCCTTGCCAGGCTCCAGTAAAGCTGCTTTGTTTTCCTCTCTCTTTTCCTTACAAGGTCATAAACTCTGTGTCTGGTCTTTAAAATTCCAATGCTTGGTGGCACAAATGAGGCAGCCTCAATATTGTTGAAGGAGTGAAGAAGGGTTTGGAAGTTCCCGGTGGTCCAGGAAACCAGACTGGCTCCCGGCAAGTAGATCTCTCCCAAACCTAAATTGGCCATACAATCCCAGTGTGAGACAGGTCGAATGCAGAGAACGAGCATTTCCAGGTTGTAGCTCTCATCTCATCTCACCTCACAAAAAAACCAGATCACCACCGGGAGTCCTGATCTCCAGCTTTTACGCCCACCCCTCCCAATCACTGCAGGTCAGTTAATTCTCCAGATTCACAAGCTGGAAAACTCAGCTCTGGCACTCACCACACAGGCCTCAACAGGGGCCGTGGATCAACCCAGAAGCCCAACCTTCTCAGCCTGCTCAAGGCCCCTTCCACCTGTCAGTCTGCCCCATGACAGCAGTGCTGTGGGCACAATGCCAGGCACACCCATGTCAGGCAGTCCTACCAGGACCTAACTTGATGGGCTGCAAGGGCCCTCTGGACACATTCTGATCAATTACACCTTCCTCTCCAGCTGCCTAACGTTGACCAAGTCAGGGACCTGATTAAAACCCCATCAGTTTCTAGCTCTTCCTGTAATTTTGATTGACAACATGAAATGCTAATACAAAAACATCTTATCTCTGATAAAACAAAAGCTGACAGAAACACAGATGCTGAAAACCAGACATATGGCGGACACAATTCCTGGGCCTGGCCCTGATCACAGTAGCACTCTTCCGCAGAGATGACGTGGAGAAGCTTGAGGACCTCCATTTAATAAATCAGACTGTACTGGCATCATCAGAATATTCACAGTTTGCAACAGGATCAGAGCGTTTTCTCACTTGCAGACTCGGAGGTATTTCAGAAGGCGACGTGAGCGCGCTGTTCTGATGCTTCCTTCTTGACCCTCTCTGGGACTTTCAGTGTGTCACTGTGTCAGATCCCTCTCCCCTTCAGGTTTTCGTGGTGCTCCTCATGCCTGAGCCCTCTGGGATCTCTTCACCATCTTCCAGTGCGGGAGCTTCGGCTGCTGGCTGGCTGGTCTCGAAGGAGTCCAGGTGAGATGTGGGGAGCTTCCCCTGGGCAGCCAGGCCCTGCAGGGCTGGCCTTGTCTCACTCCTATGACCCTCTATGGGACTCTCTCTTCTGACCTCTTCCAGCTCTGCAGCTGCCTGTTCCTTTGTCAGTTTAATTATTTCCCTTCCAAGGCTGTTTACTTCTCCCTCACAAGGTAACTGGGGTAACGAAGAATGAAAGAGCTTGCTCTGGTTCCCGCAGCTCTGATTTGGTGGGGAGTTGACAGTGGGCCTCCTAGCATCCTCAGGCGCTGTCAACGCCTCAGCAGCGGCACAACTTTCATCTCCTTCTTGCTTCTGAGCCTCCCCTGAAAACAGAACGAGGACAGCATTAAACCTCTGGCAGCAAGTCAGCCCTCACCACCCCTCTTCTGCCAGCCTCCCGCCCAGCCTGCCGGCACGGGGCCTCTGAAAAAGAAGGAATACTTTGTTTTAAGCAGGAAAGTGTGAGACAGTGCAGGGCACTGGAGCCGAAGGGGAACACGGGACCCAGGTGAAACCAGCGAGCATGCACTCTAGTGATTCCTGCATTATTAATGGAGGGCAAGGGAGCACTTGGGCCATGTTATAATCCATCCTTTCCAGACACCTGGTCAGCTTCTGTTCCATTCTCTAATGGCTGCTCCTTGTGCCCATTAAATATTTAAATTGAGGACACAGGTTTTGTTGGTTCTGCAGCTCAGAGCTGGGGCTGGTTAGTAATGAAAAAAGGTCCGGCTGCATTGAGGGTGGGAAGCAGAAGGGCAGTTTGGGAAGGATTTCGGGCCACCGCTTCTCCACGATTCTCCATCAGCATCGCAGTCCTTAATGCAGACACCTGATGTTCCTCAATTTCAAATCAATTATATGCAAATGCAGCTTCAATTTCCCTCCCCCGTTGGGCTGTTGTCCCTAAACCCCTTCTCTATAGAATGGAAATTCTAGCACTGCAACAGGAAGGACATGGAAGAGAAAGGGGAGCCCCAAAACGGCTGATATCCAGCCCTCATTTTCCTACTCGCTTGGTGATCGGGACCGGACTCTCTGCTGCCCCTTCTGGACATAACCAGCAATGGTTGCTCTGCGTGAGTGGGGAGCGGCGGAGTGGTGAAGCGAGTGCTTAGTACCTGGGCATCTGCATTCCACAACAGACACTGAGTTTCCCCAGAAGCCAATTTCTCCTCAGCCCTCAGGCTAAGCAGTGAAGAAATGTATGATAGAGCCACAGTGGGGCTAGGTTTAGCCTGGGCGCAGGTCCTGGACCAGGAATAAGGGTCCCCCAAGAACACTTCCTGACCCCTGAATGGAACCACAGCAGAACCCTACTGTATGTAGTTGGGCTTGCCATCAGATATGTGCAGGTGTGTTTTTAGGCTGTGAATGGGACCATGGGGAGCTGGAGAACGGCAGCAGGTTAGAAAGGATGGTGAGCATCATCTGGCCATGCCTTTTTCCTGCTTAAAACCTTCTGCTGGAGTCTTGGCACTTTCGGGATACATTTTCTTTTGCTTAGGCCCTGACAAGGTCTTGCTGATGTGCTCCTGTTTCACTCTGCAGCCTCATTTCCCACAGTTCTATCACACTTGTCCTCCCAGCCGTGCCACGTGCCCATTAGGTCTCCATATGCACTGATCAGTTTCTCCCCTGTCTTAAATAAATCCTCCCAGCTAATGCTTGTTGGGTGCTTTTCCATGTTAGGCACTGCACTAAATATTTGACGTGTTTATCTCATTCTAAATTTAAGTCCATGAGAACAGGAGCCTCATCTGACTCATCCAGTGTCTGACACATTCTAAGCATTCAAAAATATTTAAAAAATAGTCCCTTTCTTTTATAAATGGAAGTAGAATATACATGAAGAGAAATGCACAGAACTGAAGTATCCAGCTGAATGAATTTTCACAAAGCGAATTCACCCACATAACCAGGATGAGAAACAAAATATTACCAACCACTGCAAATACTTCCTAGTCCAATACTCCTAGACCCCTTTTCTAGTCACTTCTCTTCTGCCAAGGATAACCACTAGCCTGTTCAAAATGCCAAAATGCAATCTGCCTGGTCCTTGAACTTTATATCCAGGAATCTTACTGTGCTGGGTCCTTTTGCTTCACATGAGTTTGTGAGATTTACCCACATTTTTGAGTATAGAATTTGTTTATTTGAATGCACCACAATTTCCAACATGTATGTAAACGTTGAATGAAAACGGGCAAGTCGGAAACCGAAAAAGAGAAATGGAGAGCAGACATATTAAACGATTCACACCATCAGTCAAAAATGCAGAAACCTAAGTCACAAGGAGATGTAGTTTTTCCTGTATCAGAATAGCAAAAATGAAAAGGTTTGACAAAGCTCAGTGCTGTGAAGGATGCAGGGAAACAGGTACAGTCAGGCATTAATAGAGAAAATAAAAATTAGGAAGACTCTTTTGTAGGCCATTGTTAGGAATCTACTTATGGATATTAGCCCAGATATTTGAAGACACATTGTTCTTAGATACTCGCTGCAACACTGTTTTTAATAACAGAAGTCTGGAAAAATCCAAGTGCCCATCAACAGGGAATTATGTATAAGGATTTACTGGCCAAGTTGTGAGATTCTTTCTGATAATATGCACTAAAAATTGAAGGTTGTCTCTGGAAAGTAGACTGAGGACCACAGCAAGAAGGTGGAGGAAGTCTTTAATTTTCCACCTTTCTGTGCTGTTTACATTTTTTAACATGTGCTATATTCCTATTTTATAAAACAAGATATGCAACCTCCAAGATTCTACCATCCATCATCACCTCATCTTTCCTTTGCTACACTGATCTGTAGAGCTAGGAACCCATATCCACTGCTTCCACTTCCCAGGGCTGCTTCACACCTTCCATCCTTCAGTCTATTCTGCATCCTTCCTGCCTGTGAGGTCTATGTCCCCCTCCCCAACCTGTAGCATACTTTCCCATTGGCCACATGCTCCTCTCAAGCTCTTTCCCCCGTGGTCTCTGGTTTCTCCTTCAATCTAGTTCTGTGAGCATGTTGCATTCATTCCCTATGGCTGCTGTAGCAAATAGCCACAAACTTAGTGGATTAAAACAAAACACATGTATTCTCTTATAGCTTTGGAATCAGAAGTCCAAAAACATTTCACTGGGGCTGGGCACAGTGGCTTATGCCTATAATTCCAGCATTTTGGGAGGCTGAGGTGTGTAGATCACTTGAGCTCAGGAGTTCAAGGCCAGCCTGGCCAACATGGCCAAACCCTGTCTCTACTAAAAATACAAAAATCAGCCAACTGTGGTGGCAAACACCTGTAATCCCAGCTACTCGGGAAGCTGAGGCAGGAGAATCGCTTGAACCCAGGAGGCAGAGGTTATAGTGAGCTAAGATTGTGTCAGTGCACTTCAGCCTGGGCAAGAGAGAGACTCTGACTCAAAAAAAAAAAAAAAAAAAAAAATTCACTGGCTCAAAACCAAGGCTGTGCTCCCTTGGAGGCTCTGGGCAGATTCCATTTCTCTCCTCTCCTAGTTTCTGATGGCTGCCAACATTCCTTGGTTTGTGGCTGTATCCTTCCAATCTCTGCTGCTGTGGTCACACTCCCTCCTCTTTTTCTATGTGTGCAGAATCTCTCTTTCCTCCCTTTTGAAAGGATAAATGAGATTGCATTTTTGGCTCACCTGGATAATCCAGGATAATCTCTTTATCTTAGGATCCATAAAGCAGTCATATCAGCAAAGTCATTTTGCCATATAAGGTAATATTTACAGGTTTCAGGGAATTGGACCTGAAATCTTTGAGGGCCAGTATTCAACCTCCTATCTATGCCTTCCCAGTTTCCTTTCTTGATTATGATATTTCCTTCTGGCCCCTCTGCAGGCACTTCCCCAGGGATCTGCCATCTGTTTCTCTTCACTTCATTCATTCTCACTCATTGGCTATCATGTGACCTTAATTCCTGCCTCTGAGTACAGCTCCCAGATCTATATCGATGGCTCTGCCCACTTCCTGTAAAAGATACAAACCCATGTTTCTGGCTGCCAATGGGATCTTCCACCTGGAAAATCTGCTGGCACTTTCCAGAAGATAGTTTCCCCCATAGAGTCCCTCCTGTTTGCAGTTTCAGTACTGCTTCACGGTCACAGGGGCTTAAGACCTTGAAGACCAGTCAATGTCAAATCCTGTTTTTGTTCCTCTATATTAGTCTGTTTCCATGCTGCTAATAAAGACATGGGGTAATTTATAAAGGAAAGAGCTTTAATGGACTCACAGTTCCACATGGCTGGGGGGGCCTGACAATCATGGTGGAAGATGAAGGAAGAGCAAAGGGGGACATCTCATGTGGTGGCAGGCAAGAGAGCTTGTGCAGAGGAATTCTAATTTATGAAACCATCAGATCTCATGAGACTTATTCGCTACCAAGAGAACAGTATGGGGAAACCACCCCCATGATTCAGTTATCTCCACCTGGCCCCACCCTTGACACATGGAGATGATTACAATTCAAGGTGAGATTGGGGTGGGGACACAGCCAAACCATACCCTCAGTGCTATAGACTGAATGCTTGTGTCCTCCCAACATTCATATTGAGGCTCTAATCCCCAGTGTGATGGTATTTGTAGGTGGGGCCTTTGGGAGGTAGTCAAGGTTAGATGAGTCAAGAAATGGGTCCCTTATAATGGGATTTGAACCCTTATATAAAGAGGAAAGGACCAGAACCCGCTCTCTCTCTGTTCTTTGAGGATACAACAAGAAGGCCACCACCTGCAAACCAGGAAGAAGGCCCTCGTGAGTCACAGCATCTCTTGGCACCTTGATCTTAGATTTCCCAGCCTCTGGAACTATGAGAAATAAATATCTGCTTATTGTTGAAAATGTTCAACATGGTAGTTGTGGAATGGTAGTCTGTTATAGCAGCCTGAACTCACTAAGACACTCAGAAATGTTCCTTGCATCTGCCTACTCTTCTCCTTGCCCAGTACCAAACGTGGCTTGGATTTCGAAGGTCTCTAGATAAACTGCTGAGGCATATTTCCCCAAGGTTCGGCTGGATGTGACTTTCATACTATCCCCTCAGCCAATGAACAGGTAAGCATTCAAAAGGCAAGGGCACACCATGCCCAGTGTTTCTGGAACTCAGACCCTGGCTGGTGACAATTTATAAGACGAATTTATAAAGATTATTTATATAATTTAGAAAAAATGTATATTCAAAACACCTTAAGTCTAAACATGTGGTTAGATACTTCAGGTTAAATACAACCTAAAAAGGAAATATAATCTAACAAGTTTGAATTAAAATGGAGCTTAGAATTTCTGCAGCGTGTAACAATGTTACTACATCTG